GCCGAGAGTGGAGGAGAAGGTGAAGCAGCAAAGCAGCTGGGGCTTGCCCTTTCCTCATCCGGGAGTTTGTACCCCTGGCACCCCTTCTGCGCCTGCAGGCACCGCATGCAGCAAAGGCCTTGAGCCCGCAGCTCCGAAGGCGCAGGAAGCACGCGCGCGCAGCCAGGATTGCCTGCAGCACCCCAACAAGCAGCCCTTACCTGGTCGCAGTTTCTTTGTGACTGCAGGTGTGTCTGAAGGCGGCGGAGCAGAGGGACACCGTTGCGGGACTGTCTCTTCAGAGTCCAGTAGCTGTGCAGCCTCTGCATGAACTGGCTCTTCCTCTGGATGGTTAAACGGTTTGTAATCTTACTGAGCCTGAGGAAGGGAGAGAAACCACAGACCCCATCAACAAGGCAAGCCTGGCCACTGCAGGAGAAGCCCTGGCTGGGGTGACGTAGCAGCAAGGCCGCCCGAAGGCAGCCGAGAAGCTCCTCGAGCAGGGAACACCCTTTCCCGTGGCAGGAATTTCTGTAACACCAAGTCATGCAGGGCAGCCGCAATGGAGGATGCCAGGAAACATCCAGCCTTGCCTCTCCAAAACAGACTTTTCCTTTCTACCTCCTGCCAACTTTCGGGCAAAAGCCTGGGGCAGGCTGCGCCAGGTCAGGGTACAACACGGCCGCATCAGGGGCCGGACCTTTAACAGCTCCCACAGTCCCCAAGACTGCGAGCATTACGGCGCTGCTATCCCAAAACCATTATTTACCCGGCTGAGGGCCGCTCACGGTGACAAAGGCCCTAGCCAAACGTTACCAGACAAACCTGAGCCCCAGGGAGGCCACAACTTGACCAAACCTGGCAAAGCGTGAGGAGGGAACAGGAGGCACGAGCACAACAGAGCTCCTATCCGGGCTAATGAAGGACTACCCTAAACAGCCCAAGACACCACAAAAGAGATTTTCCTACTCTCTCTACAACAGCAGAAAGCCCGGAGGGGCTGGGACAGCCTCGTTCAGCAAAGCTGGACAGAGATGCCCTGCTAGCGGGGAGCCGAAGGGACGAACCCCCAGCATCTCCATGTCTCACAGGGACAGCTCTTCGCAGGGGATGACCCGACCTGCATCAGCCTCAGCTGAAGAGGCTGGGGAGAGCAGCCTCATGTGCCATCGCCGGCCAAGCACAGCTCCCACAGGAAGACATTTGGCATTCTGGCAACAGCCCTGGAAGAATAATTAATCCCAACAGGAAGGCCTGGGGAGAGGTTAACAGCTTCTAGCTCAGTGTGGGTTTCACTGCGAGCGCAATGATAGCAGCAAGAGCCTACAAACCGCCTGCCAACACGTCCACACGTAAGAAAAAGAGGCTCCGGCTATAGAGCAAGCCCCGAGTGAGCAAAAACATAAGGTTAGGACACAGAGCGTGGCAAGAAGCCAGCAGCCTTGTAGCAGAGACCTGCCTCCACAAGCCACCAGAACGCCGTCCAGAAAGCAAAGCCCACGGTTTCTGCGTGCTCCCCTCCGACCGCACAGGAGGTACTCTCGAGGGTCCACAGGGAAGCAGCTGTCCCATGTCCCTGCTCCGTCACAGCCGTGCTTGACGGGCCGGCAGGTACGGTGCCGGGGCGACACATACAGCCCCGGCACAGCTCCCGCCGCGGGGAGGAGGAGAGCTCAGCAGCTCAGGGGTGGTGGTTCACAACCAGGAAAGCAAACGCTTCTGTGCCCAAGGTGACGGCAAGATCCAAAACCGTCCCGAGATGCTTCTACGTGCTTTTGCATGCTGCTGAGGACACCCAGAGGTATAAACTACACTGACAAATTCTGGCAAGGCTCTTAGATGCTCTTGTTTTGGGATTTGCACGCCAGCCCAATGATCAGACCAGAGCGAGACAGACCGATCTGCTCCAGAGCCAAAACAAGCCCTGGGTTAGCCCATTTCCCAGGCCTGAATTGCTCCCGCACTTCCCAGCAGGACCGTCCCTCTTTCCCCCGGCACGGTCCCGGGAGGAAACGAACCTCGGCAGAAAGGAGAGCAGCCCCCTCCTCCCTCCCCAGTTTACTCCAGCACCTGAGGTCAGCACAACAGGAAAGGAGCGCTGGGAACCCCCAGCTGCTTCCTGACGTGTCCGGCCAAGTTCACTCTCTGCCGTTAAACTAACAGCAGCTATTTCCTGCCCCACCGAGGGCCCAGACACCTTTGCAGGGCAGCGCATCGCCCTGCCTCTCTGCAGGACTCCAGAGGAAACCACCAACAGCCCTCTGCGAGAACAAAGTGAAAAGTACCTGTGCAAAAAGCTAAGGAGAGGAACAAGATAACGCCCGCATGGAAAGCGGGGCACGAGGCACGGTGAAAGGGAGAAATTTCTCCACAGCCAAGGGAGGGCAGCGGGTCGTACCTGTGCGGGGGGATGCAGGGCACAGAAACCACGGGCGCTGCGGCTCGTTTCTCCGCCAGGATCTTCCGCGCCTTCTTCATCTTGATTCTAGACTTGGCCTTTGCTTTTTTCACTTTCTCGGAGCTCCAGCCCTTGCCCTCCTCCTCCTCCTCCTCATCCTCCTCTTCCCCCTCGCTGTGGGAGAGGGCGGGAAGCCTGCGCACGGAGCCCGGCGGCGTGTGGATGTCGCAGTAGGCGGTTTTGCGCACGCTGAAGGAGGTACCATTGGCCCCCGTCTCCCGGACGGGCTCCATCTTCATGTACAGCCCGGCCTGCTGGGCACAGGTGACATGGAAGGCGGTGTAGCAGTTGGCTTTATGACACTGGATGCAAGCCCCGGAGCCACGCTGCTTGCAAATGTAACAAGTCAGCTTCCAGCGCGCGGGCGGGATGTGCTCGATGCTGTCGATGGGCTCCAGGAAGACGGTATTGGCAAAGCACACCTCCGGGATCCAGAGGGCACAGACCACGTGTGCCCAGCGCCCGTCGTCTGTCTGCTTGAAGGCCCCCCCCTTGTTCGGGCAGAGGGCGCAGTCCACGGCTCGCGAGGGTGACTGCAGGCACCGTCTGCAGAGCCACTGTCCCTCCGGGATGTAGGGCACCCCGTAGCACTCCTGATGCACAGCCAGGTTGCACATGTCGCAGAAGAGGATGACGTTGCTGTTCTGACACTCCCCGTCATTGCAGATGCAACAGACGGCATCCTCATCCACCAAGGCGTTTGGATCCCCCTTGTTGTGGCTCTCGAAGTAGGACTCCTTCTCCAGCCGGTCCATCAGGTACTCGAAGATCTCCTGGGGAATGGGACTCACGCCTTCGGTCTTCCGCCGCTCGTTCATGATGTCCAGCCAGATGTAATCCTCCTCGTCCATGTCGTACTCCACCTCCTCATCCAGCTCCTCTGCCGACTTCTCGATGTACCTGGAAGGACAGCACAGGAGGGTGAGGGCACGGCCAGCAGGGTCTCGGAGCTGCTGACCGCAGGCCGTGGCTGAGGGAACGTTTAAATGCTACAGCCAAGCCGTAAGTCAAAATAAAAAAAACAGGGACAAGGCAGGAACGTGCAGAAGCGGGAGGTGCTGCTGCACCCCGAGCAGTGCAGCGACACAACAGCACATTGGGCACGACGCAGACAAAATAACACTCGTCTAATGGGCGAGGTACGGGCCTTGGAGACTCATCAGCGCAAGATGGGAGCCTGCACGAGCCACCAAGCAGGTGCCAGATGCCCTGGAGACAGCGGCCTCGTGCCCAAGACACAACAGCAACCAGGCATGGAGGCACCACGTTTTGTTTATTCTGGCGAGGGCAGCTGCGCCCTCTTCTCTTTCACTCCCAGTTGCGGGTGAGGGGATGTTATTTAGAGAGGAAAGAGCTCAAACCCCGAGGCTGCTGCTCCAGTGACTGACGGCAACCCCCCCCCGCCATCGCCACGAGCAGCACTGCACACACCTCAGGGGGAGGTTTCTTTTCTAACACCCTGACACAAAATAACGTCATTATCCTGTCCCTAGAACACGGTGCCGGTTTCTCAGGGCACGTGGTGACTAGGACGGCAGGGGTGGCCACACGAGCCTTACTTTGGTTCAGCATTAACTCCTTGCTTGAGGTATTATTTTGGGCCACCGCGCTTGCCAAACCACTCACGGAAAAACCGTAGGACAGCAAAGAACATTAAGCCCGCAAACACACACATCTTAGGGGTAAACCTTGGTGCTGGGGGGCTCCAGAGCTATCCCAGAATACCTCTGAAGAGCGG